AATAAAAAATAAAGAAAAAAATTAAATAAAAAAATTAAAATAAAAAAAATTAAAAAAAAAAAAAAAAAAAGCCAAAAAAATTGGCTTGCTTCGCCACTTAATAAAAAAAAAAAAAAAAAAAGTTAAAATTTTTTCTCATTATGCTGTGCAGAAAAAAAAAAAAATATAATGCTCAGGCTGACGCTTTTCTTGTTTTAAATGGGACAAATTTTGAAGCTGGCGCCGGCAATGGAGCAACAACGCGGGGTTCCTTGTTCCGAATGGCTGTAGGGTAATTTGGGGTCATCGCGGGCTGTATTCGGCGTTCGGGTGAGTTGAGGCGACATGGTCTGCGTACTCCAGGGTCTGGCTGGAGAAAAATTAAAAATTGTTTGCAACGGGTAAAAATCGGCCTTGAATAATACCTGAGGTGGAAGAAAAATTGCTTATTATTATATTCAAAAAAAAAAAAAATTAGGAACTTTGAGTGGGAAATGTGTTTGTGGTGGCGGTGGAATTTTTTAGGTTGGCCGATTGTTGAACGATTTCTGCTTTAAAAATCCTCCCTAGCGGTCTGATTATGTCAGTAATTTCTTTATCAAAAGCGGTAAATTTTTTGCATAAAAATATGTATTTTTTTTATTGTAGGCTGTAATTCTTATAAATAAACTCAACTAAAAATCTGTCCGGAAAGTAGTTAGTAAACATCCCGGGGAAGGATAAAATTAAAAAAACAAAAATCATAAATTATAATGTAATAAATAATCAAAAAAAATAATAATATAATAATAATAAATGTAATTCAATAATATAATCAAAAACCAAAAACACTGAAATGTGAAATATAGCGCCAAGAACGCACATTAAAAAAGGCGCTGACCAAAAATCGCATAAATCGTTTTCTTCAGTGTCTGAAAAAGTGGGAACCCCCAAACCAATCATTATCACATCAATTCTGCAAGTGGTTCTGATTTACTAATCGCTGTTCTCTAGCCGTCTAAAACCGCTCATTTGAACTAAAGGGACGCTTTTTGGACGCCATGGACGTTTTTCTCAGTTTCCAGGGCAGAAAGAACAGTAAAAATGCAGGCAGGGCGCCGGACAAAGCACTCGGGACACAATGTATGTGAAATGGTTTGATACACAGGAATGTTATACTATGTGATTTAGTGTATTTAGTGAATGTCACTTTCAGATTTTTAAATTTCCCCGCCAGTTCAGTTCCCTCAGTATCCCGTATGTCCCGACACGTTACAGGGAACAGGAACCCAGAAGACAGATGCCGGCATCGGCCGGAGGACATTGCCGGGGACACTGCAGGGGGACATCGCGGAGCGCAGGACAAGGTAAGTGCAGAAGAGATCCCGGAGCAACGCTGCAGTGTATTCCCGAGTGTACTCTGGGGGGGTTACCGCTTGTGGTGCTGAAACTTTACCCCGAGATACACTCAGGAATACTGCCAGGGGGGGGTTAAGGAAATGTTTTTTGTATTGAAGTTGAAGTGTTAATAAAAGGCCGTGTTGGCCATTTTACTCCAATCGGTGTTGTTTTTTCTAGAAAATGATAGTTTATAGGGGGGGTTATGTGAAGGAGTGAGGTGGGGGTGAAGGGTCTCGATTAGCCGATCTCTTGTGCACTAGTCATGTTCATGTTCTGTTATAGGGAGGGGGGGATATTTTGAAGAGTGAGGTGGGGGTGAAGGGGTCTCGATTAGCCAATCTCTTGTGCACTAGTCATGGTTTCATGTTCTGTTATGGGGGGGGTATGTGAAGAGTGAGGTGGGGGTGAAGGGGTTTCGATTAGCCGATCTCTTGTGCACTAGTCATGGTTCATGTTCTGTTATAGGGGAGAGGGGGTATGTGAAGAGTGAGGTGGGGTGAAGGGGTTTCGATTACCCCCCCGATCTCTTGTGCACTAGTCATTGGTTCATGTTCTGTTATGGGGGGGGTATGTGAAGAGTGAGGTGGGGGTGAAGGGGTTTCGATTAGCCCGATCTCTTGTGCACTAGTCATGGTTCATGTTCTGTTATAATGGGGGGTATGTGAAGAGTGAGTGGGGGTGAAGGGGGTCTCGATTAGCCGATCTCTTGTGGTCATGGTTCATGTTCTGTTTATCACTTTTTCATTTTCACTTTCACTTAGAATATCATAAATAATGTGAAGCTCTACAGACTTTGTATCAGAAACTCCTCCAGCTGCATCTCAGGGAAGACACAGCAAGGAAGATACAATACTGTGAGTAAACATTGTATATCATACTGTATGTGTTCCATTGTGTGTTATTGGCAGAAGCCTCATATCCAACATACCTCTTTCTGCAGCACATCGCACCCAGCACAACTCATGCTGCAGCATTACACACCCAACATACCACAAGACCAGTAAACCCAATGCACCATAAAAAGGTACACCCAACAATTCTTCACATCCTAACAGGGCGGACTGACCATTTTGGAAACTCGGGCACTGCCCGAGGGCCCGGGGTCAGTAGGGGGCCCCATGAGATGCCCCCTGGTACCTTTTTTGAGTTTGGGCAAGGACACAGGGGCCCCATGATCCCCTATTGCCCAGGAGCCGCATGAGTTGTCAGTCTGCCTCTGCATCCTAGTATATTCCATGCAGCACAACTTACACTGCAGAACATTACAACCAGCACAACTGACAGTGCAGAATATTATACCCTGGATGCTTCACAATGCAGAACATTATGCCCAACCATGCTTCACACTGCAGAACATTACACCCAACCATGCTTCATAATCCAGAACATTGCACCCAACTATCTTCATACTGCAGAGAGAACATTACGCCCAACTATGCTTCATACTGCAGAACATTACACCCAACCATGCTTCATAATCCAGAACATTGCACCCAACTATGCTTCATACTGCAGAACATTACGCCCAACCATGCTTCATACTGCAGAACATTAACACCCAACCATGCTTCACACTGCAGAACATTACACCTAACCATGCTTCATACTGCAAAACATTACACCCAACCATGCTTCATACTGCAGAACATTACGCCCAACCATGCTTCATACTGCAGAACATTACGCCCAACCATGCTTCATACTGCAGAACATTACACCCAACCATGCTTCATTATGCAGAACATTGCACCCAACTATGCTTCATACTGCAGAAACATTACGCCCAACCATGCTTCATACTGCAGAACATTACACCCAACCATGCTTCATAATGCAGAACATTGCACCCAACTATGCTTTATACTGCAGAACGTTACGCCCAACCATGCTTCACACTGCAGAACATTACACCTAACCATGCTTCATACTGCAAAACATTACACCAACCATGCTTCATAATGCAGAACATTGCACCCAACTATGCTTCATACTGCAGAACATTACGCCCAACCATGCTTCACACTGCAGAACGTTACGCCCAACCATGCTTCATACTGCAGAACATTACACCCAACCATGCTTCATACTGCAGACCATTACACCCAACCATGCTTCGCATTGCAGAACATTACACCCAGCACACCCTACCTTGCAGGATAATACACCCAAGAGATGTCAGATACAAACAGTTAACATTTGCACCCCCTTTATACACAGTTTGGCCATTTAAGCCTGACTGAAGGTCTGATGGATAATTTATATACACCATTCATCCAAAAATTGGTGGACACCTGGCCATCACACCTACTAATGTTTAGAAACTGGGAATGTTCCTGATTTTGTTTTATATTTCTGGGGGGTAAGAGGGGGGGGACAAGGGATCACAGGGGGACATGTCTTCTTTCTGTGTATCAGCAGGGTCCACTTGACCCTCCTCCCCACAGTTCCATAAGATCTTGCATTGCACGTACATCATTTAATGTGAACATATATATCCTGGAAACTGACCATTACTTATAGGTGAGCACGTTCGATCAAAGACGGGTTAGTCCAAAGCCACCATAATAAAGCCAAGTTCAATCCAACAGGAAGAATAAGTACCTAATCTTGTAACAAATGCAACCTTTGCTGTTTTTTGCCCAATTGTCATGAGGTTGATCTTCCCAGTGGTTTCAGTCCATCACATTAAATACAGGAGTACCTCTGTTTACGAATGTAATGCTTTCTCCGGGACGTTTCGTATTGCGAAGAATTCGTAAACTGAAATGCGGTTTCCCATAGGAATGCATTGAAAAACCAATTAATCTGTTCCAGAGGTACAAAAAAAAAATATAGGTCAGTGCCATTTTTTTAAATGTAAGTACGGTATTTTTTTTTTTTCTTCACTATAGCTCAGAGAATCAGCTGTCACTCCACCCCCCCCCCCCCCCCCCAGCTAAAAGAAAAAAGTTTCCTTTTAGTTTATTTCCCAGAGTTAAAAAGAAACAATGTTTCTCTTTAGTTTGTTTCCTGAGATAAAAGAAACTAACTATCGTTTAGCTGCGGGGAAAGTGACAACTAATTCTGTGAGCTATCCTGAAGAGAAAACAATGCCGGCAATTACAATTAAAAAACGGCACCAACATACACTGCGTATTGCGAAAAAAATTTGTAAAAAAAAGAGGCGTTATTTTCAATGGGTTTTCATTTGTAAACTGAAAATTATGTTAACCAAGGCAATTGTAGACTGAGCGATGCCTGTATAGAATTACATGTCAAACACCAGCTCGAGTTTAGTTAATGAAGTGCTCTTGTGGTTGCTTTTAAGTGGGCAAAACAAAACGCCAGTTCTTTGAGCTTATTAGGGATCATGTCTTTCGCATTAAAAATTGCAAAATGGAGACCCCCATTAGCAGACATGTGGGTCTGTATCACAACTTTGATCTGGGAGTGATTAGGTTCATGGCTTTGGAATATATCCCATCCAGGGGTGGACTGACAACGTATGGGGCCCCCGGGCAATAGGAAATCATGGGGCCCCTGTGTCCTTGCCCACACTCAAAAGTCTATGAAAGGTACCAGGGGCCCCCTACTGACCCTGGGCCTTCGGGCAGTGCCCAAGTGTCAGGAATGGACTCACCACTGGTGGTGCTGTGGCTCACTTGCTCTGTGGCTGCAGTACCAGCTCCTACCAGAGGGTGCTTTCAGCAGCCAGAGTCTCACTCCTGCAATCAAGCCATCACCTGAGGCTGATTGCAGGAGGTCTATTTAAGCAGGACCAGGCCTGCAATCAGTGCCTTGGTGTTGTTTCCCATGAACCCCGTATATTTTGTACCTGTGCCTGATCCTCTGTTCTGTGAAGTACCCTTTGTTGCTGACTCTGCTTTGATCCTGATCCTGCTGACTGTCCCTTGCACTGACCCCTGGCTCTTTACCTGACTACTCTCTGCCTGCTCCTCCTGTACCTACCTGCCCATTAGTTGCTGAACCTGGCTTGTGACCTGACTACTCTCTGCCTGCTCCTCCTGTACCTACCTGCGCGTTAGCTGCTGAACCTGGCTTGTGACCTGACCACTCTCCGCCTGCTCCTCCTTTACCTACCTGCCATTAGTTGCTGACCTGGCCTGTCTGACTACGTTATACCTTCACGGTTATCCATCCATCCCGCACGGATCCAGTCTCTGCTGCCCAGGCCTGCTAGCCTCTTCACGTCAGGCTCTCCCCTGGTACATACCCTCGGCGGACCCCTCTACTACAGTTTGGGTGCACTCAGGGGCCGCGACCTGGTCTCAGTCCTGCACCAAGTCCATCCCCACCATCAGGGGCTCTGGTGAAAAGGCAGACTGGGGCTTAGACTCTCTGCGCCCTGAGGAATCCCGTTCTGTGGGTCACTAGAGATCCCGCCGGGCGTGCCTGGCAGTCCCTTACGGCTTGCCTGACCCATTCCACCTCTCCAGCCCTGAGTACGCCTGGGTTTCCTGCACATATTGATACTAGTTGAAGGTTGGTTCTGTTTACTGTGCATTTTGTATATTTGCTAATAATAAATCATATTATTATTATTATTATTACATCATTTCTGAAGCCTGCTGTTTCCCTGTGTCAGTCGACACATTTCTGGTCATACCTGGATCCCTGACACCAAGTGCCTAAATGGTCAGTCCACCCTTGATCCCATCACATGTGCGAGGAGGTAACATGGACCAGAAACTTTTTACAACTTGGGACACGATGGATATATAAACTCAGTGCTACCCACTACCCAGGCTTTGAATGAGTCTTTCAGTTTTTAAACCACCTTTTTTATAATCCATGATTCTGCCCCCATAGCATTCCCTTATTGCAGCCATACAATAGGATATTCATTTTTGTTTTTCAACTATATAACGTTTATGTGGATATGGATACATTATTTCATGATTGAGCTGTAATTCTGATCTTGAGATATTTGTAATAATTTTTCAGAATGATGATGGTTCCCCCAGCTTGTCCGTCAATATACATATGCAAGGTTTTTTAGATCAAAAATAGTTTTTGGGCCCTGAGTAAGTGTTACCAGATGCAATGGTATGGACACCCAGGGTGAGGTTTCTCAGATTCGTCTGAGACCCGTGTCTTGTATGTTCTGCCGAAAGTGAACCACAGCCCCCTGTTTTCCTTCATTGTTTATTTATGTGAGGTTAACATTTTTTTTTAGAATACTGGCAGTATGGCATACAATGCCGTAATTTGTCATTGGAGATTTAGTGATTGCTGTCTGATCTGCTTAACCACTTCGCAGCCCCACTTTCCAGTCCGGGACACTTTCACCCCCTTCCTGTCCAGGCCAATTTTCAGCTTTCAGTGCTATCACACTTTGAATTGCGCGGTCATGCAACACTGTACCCATATGAATTTTCTAGCATTTTTTTGAGACAGATAATATTTTATTTTGGTGGTATTTATTCACCACTGCAATTTTTTTTTTATTTGCTATATAAATGAAAAGTCCAAAATTTGGAAAAATAAGTGTTTTTCTTATACCAATTTTGCAAATAAATAATCGTTCATAAATATTCATAAATGTATTCATCTTTTTTTTTTTGTGAAAAAAAAAAAACCCAAATTAGTTTATAACCAAACATTATAATTTTCAAATTTTTTTTTACATTTTTATTTTATTTTTTATATTATTATTTGTTTTTTTTTAACATACTGTCACCCTAGCAGTACAGTGTCACCATGGTGACACTGTACTACTTGTGGGGCGTGATGAAGATTTTTTTTTTTTTTTGCACTGATTGCTTTTACACCCATAAAGGCTGTAAAAGCAATCATTTCTCCTTCTCTCTGGCTGCATTCTTGCAGCCATTGAGAAATATTGTGTGAGCTGTGATTGGTCACAGCTTGTCACATGGTACACAGGCCGTTGTGAATAGCCCTGTACCATGTGATCTCTTTGATCATTCACAGATTTCACACGTAGTAAGCAATGATGTCAGAAGTGACATCTTACTTACTGCTATTCATGTGATCACTGATTGGCCAATCAGTGATCACATGATTGGGACCTCACACAGAGGTCCCGTACAGCGATCCAGTGTTCCAGGGAGCGCACGCAGGCTGGGCACCATTTATGAACGGCAACCCGCTCCTTCACTACTCCCTTCCGGCCTTTTATATACAGGGCTGATGGGAAGTTTTAACTGATATTGAGTGACCATCTTATGGCCAGTTTGGATTACTTTTTACTTTTTCAATTTTTGTGTATTTTACATTTGTGGTTATGTAGGTCTCTACTAATAGATGGCACAGGGGTGGAACTAACCACATGTCTTTTTCATGGGGCCCCTGGGCAATAGGGATCATTCAACCCCCAAGTGACATGTCCTCACCCACAGCCCCATATGAAAAAGCCAATGAAAGGTACCAGGGTCTTCTAATGGTGGCCCCTACTGACCCCGGGCCCTCGGCAGTGCCCGAGTGCTCGAATGGTCAGTCCGCCCCTCTTCATGGCGGCCTTGTAGTGTCTTGCTGGTATTGTGCTTTGATTGGCCATTCTTGCGCATTGGTGGCTGCTTTTTTGGATTTTAATGTTGCTTCCTGTGAGGTGCGCAGTGGCTTTGGGTGGCTGGTTCGCACATGCGTGTAGCTGCCTCCGCAGTCATATACTGGATGTTAAAAAAAATAAAACCCTTTCCTCTGCAATGAAATCTCTAAGTTGGACGGGTGGAGGGAGGTAAAACAGGATCATTTGTGAGGACATGGCCTTTTGGTCCCAGCCTCAGGTGGTGCTGCATCACATTGGGCTGGGATCCAATATCTCCTATATCTGAAGAGGAATTCATGGTCTATGATCCAGTATCAGGCTTCCCTGACCATTTGGAAACTCGGGCAGCCCCGAGGGCCCGGGGTCAGTAGGGGGGCCCCATGAGCTTCACTGGTAGGCTTTTTTTCATTGGCTTTTTTGAGTTTGGGCAAGCCTTGTTCAGGGGCCCCATGATCATAGCCGTTGCCCGGGGGCCCGATGAGTTCTCATTCTGCCCCTGATCAGTATATAGCCACCTATCCTTTACAATCAATTTTCTGAACATTTTTTCCGGCCTTCACTCTTTTTTAGCATGGAGTCAGCGAGGAGGGAAGGCTATTGCTGACATCTAGTGGCAAGGTTTTGATATTGATCATCTTTCCTACCGCTATTGTAAGTAATCTGGATAACAATTAGATAGTGACTTTTTTTTTCCGTTGTTGTTGATAGGATATATATTTATATGTACGTGGATATTTGACCTTCTTTATACTCCTCGCAATTGCACGAACGTCGAAGGCCATAATTTTAATGTAGATGCAGAAACAACACCTCCTGCGCTCAGCGGGACCCAGATCAAGGTGGATGGGTGGGAAGACCACTTGTGCGAAGTTGTCCACCAATGGATGTTTAACAGGTTGTGCAGCTCTTAAAAAAGCTGGGGAGCCCAACCAGTACTGCAAAGTAAAACAAAAAAGTGACCGCACCAACCTTGCGCATTTACCTCAAATAAGCTGATTTTTTAAAATTAGATATATAGAGCTCTGAAGGAAGAAGTATCACCCCCCTTCGAAATGCGTCAGTGGAACTTTGAGAGTCTCCCCTCTTGATTGACATCGCACTGGTGTTTTGTACCTGATGGAAAGCAACCTGTATGTTCTGTTCTTTGAGGTAAGTCTTATATGCTTGTTTTAATTGTGGCTTTGTTTGTGAGTATATATCTCATTTTAATAAAATCACAGTTTATTTGTAGTAATGCGCATTTGGTTGTTGCGTTCTCTTTTTGTTTTTACTTTACGTTAATGTAGATGCACCAGTGTATTTTTGAATGGCTTCGGCAGCATGATTTTTGATAGTAAGCTGGGGGTTCATACATATTCTTCTGGACATATAAAAAAGTCTTATATTTAACAATGATTGATATTTGTTATAACTGTGCCTAATTCTTTTTTTTGTATTTCAATTTTTTGTATTAATTTTTGTGGTTTTAAGACAGGAGCAACAAAACACGCCCACAGGGGCAGGGCTATCAATTGCACATAAAAAAAATAAATAAAAAACAGTGCTGTAACAGAACCACACCCCGACTGCACTAGGGTATTAGACTCCCGCTTCCCTGTCCAAACACAGGGCCCCACGGACACCGGGCCGCTGACCATACGAGACTAGACGAGACCAGTCTTGAAATAAATCGGGAAATAGAGACTACTTTATTTTAACACAGATACAAGATATATACATTGTGACCAAAATTATTCAACCCCCACTGAAATTGAGTGTGCTTGGGGCCAGTTTGTACATTGCTTTTGATCATTCAGTCATCTTGCTTACATTTACATTAAAGAGGCACTTGTAGGTCAGACAAAAAAAAACAGGAACATTATAATGAAATAACCACAAATGTCTTTTCTGTGCTCACAGCATTATCAGTTTTTATTCAACCCCCAAGTGACATTCAATCTTAGTACTTAGTACAGCATCCTTTTACAGTTATAACAGCTTTTAAACTGAAGCATACTTGACACAAGTGTCCTTGCAGCGATCTACGGGTATCCTTCGCCCATTCTTCATGGGCAAAGGCCTCCTTTCAGTCACATTCTTGGCTTGCGCACTGCAACTGCTTTCTTTAAGTCCCACCAGAGGTTCTCAATCGGATTTAAAGTCTGGTGACTGCGATGGCCACTCCAAAATGTTCAGTTTTCCTCTGCAACCATGCTCTATAGTGGACTTGGAGGTATGCTTGGATCATTGTCCTGTTGAAAAGGTCCAACGTCTCCCAAGCCTCAGGTGTGTGACGGACTGCATCACGTTTCCATCCAATATCTCCTGTACTGAAGAGAATTCATGGTACCTTGCACACGCTGAAGCTTCCCTGTACCTGCAGAAGCAAAACAGCCCCAAAGCATGATTGACCCTCCACCATGCTTCACAGTAGGCAAGGTGTTTCTTTTCATCATAGGCCTTGTTCTTCCTCCTCCAAACATAGCGTTGATCCATGGGCCCAAACAGTTCTAATTTTGTTTCATCAGTCCACAGAACACTATCCCACAACTTTTGTGGTTTGTCCACATGGCTTTTGGCATACTGCAGTCGACTCTTCTTATTCTTTGGAGACAGCAAGGGGGTACGCCTGGGAGTTCTGGCACGGAGGCCTTCATTACGCAGTGTGCGTCTTATTGTCTGGGCTGAAACTTCTGTACCCACATCTGACAAATCTTTTCTCAGTTCCTCAGCAGTCACACGGGACTTCTCTCCACTCTACGCTTCAGGTAGCGCACAGCAGTCGAAGTCAGCATCTTCTTTCTGCCACGACCAGGTAGCGTTTCAACAGTGCCCTTTGCCTTGAATTTGCGAATGATGCTTCCTAAGGTGTCTCTTGGTATTTTAACATCTTTGCAATCTTCTTATAGCCATTGCCCTTCCTGTGAAGAGAAATCACCTCTTCTCTTGTCTTCTGGACCATTCTCTTGCCTTCACCATGTTTGTAACCACACCAGTAAATGTCTAGAAAGGAGCTGAGTATCACAGTCATTTTAAAGCTGCCTAATTGGTGCTTATTATGCTTGATTGCTGCTCGGTGACATCCACAGGTTTTTCAATACCTGATGGAAAGCACCTGTATGAACCTCTGTTCTTCAGAGTGGTAGTCTTTAAGGGGTTGAATAATTGTGGCAATGAAGAAACCACATAAGAACCATTTACGTACGCTATCAATTACTGTATTACATAAACAATTGATGTCATTTTAGTTGCATTTGGGTAGTTACAACGTCCTTGTAGGATTTGATTCTGAATACAATTCCAAATGTACACTATAGTCCCTAAACCCCTTTACAGCAATGGGGGTTGAATAATTTTGGTCACAACTGTACACAGGGCGGGCAATACACACCCAGTAACAAGAAACACATCAGCAGGCAGTCCCATCAGGGGGAAGGGCTGCTGGAAACACCCCCCACCAAGCCAATACACAAACACCTACATCTCATAATAGTTTGCTCCCAAGCAAGACACACAATAGAACAATGGAATACAACCACATGGAATTAAACAGTGAACAACCCCCACCTATACATGTCTACACACTATCAGGATATTTCACCCTGCACCCCTAACAGGCACAGGGTGACTTACACATAAGAGGGATATAGGGAGCTGAGACAGGGGTCTCCCCACCTCTCCAAAATGAGCTGTGTTCCATGGGCCCCCCACCCAAAGTCACTCCCGTCGCAAGTGCTCTAACACCAACAGAGCAAAAGGTGCGCCCACGCAGGGGCTATCAATAGCACATAAATGACAAAAACATTAGTATAACACCAACAGTAACTCAAACTAAAGGCAGCTATCCACTGCCACACCAAAAACAAACAGAAAAAGAAAAGGAAAGAGGAGTACAAAAGGAAAAAGATAACAAGACCAAGAGCAGGGGTCCAAGAACGCCAATACCGAGCAACATCACAACCCCAGACTAGCCGGGGGAGCGTGAGAAAAAACATATTGCAACCACAGCTCTCTTATTTTCAAGAATTTCCATTGGGAGTCGTTACAGATACTCGACATCTGTTCATTGAGCATCATAGTAGTCATACGGTCCTGCACCCCCTGAAGAGGGACAAACGGGCTCTTCCAGGTCTGAGCAATTGTTCTAGTGCCAATAGGAAGCCAACTTCTGCTGATGAGCCAAGAGGCCCGGTATGGGACAATGAAAGAAAGCATACCGAGCATCCCAGCATATGGAGAGATGGAACAAAGTGAAAAGGAGGCCAAATACAGGAGACCAAAATTGAAACAGTCTCAGGCATGACCGCCAGATATGCAATACCTCACTATGATGGCCACAACCCCGAAAACATCGATCACTGCAGGTAGAGTTTGCCTGGGCCAAACGAGCCGAAACCCAATACCAACGAAACAGTACTTTGTATGCCGCCTCCAGCGTGGTCGTATTAAATGAACATTTAGTTATAAGTGACCAGACCCTATTACAGTCCTCCAGATCCATGATTGCCCCCAGGTCATGCTCCCACTGAGCGACATATGAGAGAGAATATGAGAGAGTATATATGCTGGAATTTGTATATGTTTACAAATTCTGGGGGGCCGTGACGAGGCTCTGTAGCTTACACATGTATTTGCAACTTTGTGCTAACTAAACCCCTGTTTTTAATGCATACTGTTAGACAGGTTAATTTGGTTTGTGTGCAAGTTGGCTGGCAAGTTGAGCTGCAAATTTTTCTGTTTTGTTGTTTGAAATGCGTCATCCTTTCATGTGCTCCTTGCTGTGAAGGTCAGTTATAGACTGGGGAAGTGGCCATTTTTTGTATTGTAGAGGTCTGTGCGTCCCTCCATGGATATGCCTCTCCAGACCATCACTTACCCACCACCAAAACAGTCATGCCGAACGATGTTACAGGCAGCAGAACGTTCTCCACGGCTTCTCCAGACCCTTTCACGTCTGTCACATGTGCTCAGGGGGAACCTGCTCTCATTTGTGAAAAGCACAGGGTGCCAGTGGTGGACCTGCCAATTCTGGTGTTGAATGGCCAATGCCAATCCAGCTCTATGGTGCTGGGCAGTGAGCACAGGGGCCACTAGAGGACGTCGGGCCCTCAGGCCACCCTCATGAAGTCTGTTTCTGATTGTTTGGTCAGAGACATTCACACCAGTGGCCTGCTGGAGGTCATTTTGTAGGGCTCTGGCAGTGCTCATCCTGTTCCTCCTTGCACAAAGGAGCATATTCCTGTCCTGCTGATGGGTGAAGGACATTCTACGGCCCTGTCCAGCTCTCCTAGAAGAACTGCCTGTCTCCTGGAATCTCCTCCATGCTCTTGAGACTGTGCTGGGAGACACAGCAAACCTTCTGGCAATGGTACGTATTGAAGGGCCATCCTGGAGGAGTTGGACTGCCTATGGAAACTCTGTAGGGTCCAGGTATCTCCTCATGCTACCAATAGTGACACTGACCCTAGCCACATGCGAAACTAGTGAAAACAGTCAGAAAAGATGAGTAGGGGAAAAATGTCAGTGGCCTCCACCTGTAAAACCATTTTTGTTTTGGGGGTTGTCTCATTGTTGCCCATCTCATGCACCTGTTGTTAATTTCATTAACACCAAAGCAATTGAAACTGATTAACAACCCCCTCTGCTACTTACTGACCAGATCCATATCCCAGGAGTTATACTCTGATTTAAAACTCTTCCTTTAATTTTTTGACCCATATATATATATATATATATATATAAAAAGCCTGGCATCAATTGTTTAATCAAATAACTACTACCGTAATTCAAAATTTTTCTTAAACAACAAAACATAGAATACAGCATATCAAAATCAGGAGAAAAATCAACAAGGAGAATCATTTCCCTATATCAATTGAATGGAGTCACGATATGGCACCTATTATCAAAAAATATAAATAATCAAATAGAAATATTAAAATAGCTGGAATAATAAACACTTTCAAAGATATTATAAATATATTACAAAATTTACCCTAATCAAAGAAATAAATACAAACCAAAGTCAGATTTTAACCCTCAGGATAAAATACATCCAGAGAATGGACCCATTGGACAAGCAGTTTTTAAGCTGAAACATGTGGTGGTGTAAAGGGGTTGTTCATAACAGATTTATTTATTTCAGGTACTTATATAGCGCCATCAATTTGCTCAGTGCTTTACATATACTGTATACATTGTACATTCACATCAGTCCCTAACCCTCAAGGGGTGTATCTAAGGTCCTTAACTCACATTCATACATACATATACTAGGGACAATTAGGCAGGATCCAATTAATCTCCCAGCATGTCTGTGGAGTGTGGGAGAAATCCCACACAGGAACAGGGAGAACATGCAGGTGCTGCCATGGCTGGAATTTGAACCAACGACCTTAGCACTGCCAGGTGAAAGTGCTAACCATTTAACCACTGTGCTGCCCAGATGTGGTGGTGGCAGGGAATTGACTCTGAGAAAAAAAAGAATTCCAATGGATCCATACTCTGGATACTTTATATTCTAATATATATTTGTTGTTTTTTTTATTTAGGAAAAAAAATCTATTTACTCAACACAACATCAATATATATATATATATATATATTAGCAGAAAAAGATTACTCGTATTGTGCATGTGTGCACTAAAATTCATTTAGGTGTATTTTTTCCTAAAATTGTGTTTGATAAATGGCTGTGCAAATATCATGCAACATAAAAAAAAATTGCAACAGCCACCATTTTATTCTTCATGACCTCTGCATTCAGAAAGTATATAATGTTTGGGGGTTCTAAGTAATTTTCTAGCAAAAAAACATATGCTACATATGAAAATAGACTTTATTATCTATTATCATGTGAAGTACCCATAATAATAGTGCTTTCTTACTTGAGGCATCTTGGGTTTTAGGCCACTTGAGCCAAAGTTTGGAAGCAGCAGAATTAGTATTGATGGCAAGTACAATGTATTTTTCTTTACACAAAATAATAATGGGATTGGCTGTTGCTCCACGTAGCCTATTGATTTGCATTATTTATGTTGGGATGGCCACTTTATTTTTCCTCCATTCAGACCTGACTATATCGTCCATTGTGAAGCCAGTGATCAGAATGGAAGGCCCCATCTGCCTAATTGAAAACAAAGAGAATGGAAATCTTGTGGTGAAGCCCGAGGCCATCAAAATTTTGTCTGGGATCAGTCAGCCAGTGGTGGTGGTATCCATTGTAGGCATGTATCGGACAGGGAAATCCTACTTGATGAACAAGCTGGCCGGAGCTCAGAAAGGTGATATATCAATTAGTAGGAAGTTTTGTTACATGTTATTGATGTTACTGAGAGTTTCCCTTTTTAATTTCCATAGGCTTTAACTTAGGTGCCACCATTCAAGCTGAAACCAAAGGAATCTGGATGTGGTGTGTTCCTCACCCCTTAAAAAAGGATCACACTCTAGTTCTCCTGGACACTGAAGGTCTGGGGGATGTAAAGAAGGTGGGAATATAAGACTAGAAATTATTTAATATGATTACCATAATTTACTGTTATCGTAGGTTCTGTATTTTGTTTATGGATGTTATGACCGGCTCAGTTTTGAAGGTATTGTTAGCAGATCAAGTGAATTATTTAAACGTCTATAGTTTAACATATTTGTTCTTTTTTGTGTTACTGTTCCACACACACCTATTATCTCTTACTACGAGGGGCGAGTCAAACTGGGACTTTTGAGTTAATGTAATAAAAGAACAAATTTCAAGGAGTGTAAACTGCATTTATTTTGTGGCATACTCCCCTGCTACATGTATACACTTATCCCAGCGTTTAGCTAACTACCGTATTTTTCGCCGTATAAGCGCACCTGATCATAAGACGCACCTAGGTTTTAGAGGCAGAAAACAGGAAAAAAAAAATTCTGAACTAATGGACTGCAGACATAGTACAGGAGATGACCAGAGACTGTGGACAGCACAGGGATGACCAGAGACTGTGGACAGCACAGGGATGACCAGAGACTGTGGACAGCACAGCAGCACAGGGATGACCAGAGACTACGGACAGTACAGATGACTGCTGACCTTTGGGAGGTGGGGAGCGGGTACCTGAATTTGACAGATACCCGCTCTTTTTCCGCGGAGTTGTTCTTTCATCTTACCTGTTCCTCTATCCTTGCGCTGTCTTCCCGGCTTCTGTAATGGCGCTCACATGACAGCCGGGTGCCCAGTGCGCATGAGCGAGAAGCACTTGCGCTTTGTGATTGGTCCGGCGGCTTCTGGGATCTGTCATGTGTCCCAGGTACCGCCTTACCATTCACAAAAAGCACCGATTCTTGCGCATGCGCACTTGGCACCCGGCTGTCATGCCCACACTACAGAAGCCGGGAAGACAGCACGCCGCTGGATAGAGGAACAGGTAAGGTCCCGCTGCAGAGCTGAGCGGCCGGCCCGGTATTCTGACATGGCCGCGGTGGAAATACCAGACCGGCCGCTCCATATTCGCCTTATAAGACGCACTGACATTTCCCCCCCAGTTTTGGGGAAGAAAACGTGCGTCTTATACGGCGAAAAATGTAATGCCTGGAAAGCGTCAGCATAGAAAGATTTGTCAGTACGCGTAAACCATCCTAGGACTGCCGGCTTCACAGAAAGATTCATCTCTTGTGCAATTTCAGGACAGGTTATTATCCAGGATCAGGTGTTCCATACGCTGACTGTTCACAGGAATGACTGCTGTGGGCTGGGATCCACCACAGCCAGGATCGTCACTGATGGACGTTTGGCCATCTTTGAAACGTTTACATCATTCAAATGTCTTACTGCGGCTGAGCGTCTCATCACCGTACTGTGCTTGACGTCTTCTGCAGATATTCACACACGCTGTTCCATGCACGCACCAATACTGTTGTCTGCCATCTTGATTAACGGCCTTTGGACTGGCCCACAACATGTACACCGCCTATCAGTAATAGGACACACTTGCAACTTACTACTGCGTGTAGTACCGCCATGCTAGCATCCCTTTTATACCTGGAAAAAAAGTCCCGATTTGACTTGAATGCCCCTTGTATTTCTGTTCTTCCCTTTTCATTTTCCTTGCTGGTCTATTTTTCTAGGTCATAGTCCAAACACCTCCAGCCCACATTAAGAGAGCATTTCAAGAGCCCTGGGAATCCTTTGAACACACTAGTTTCTGTACCGAGAATGGTGACCAGAGCATGATAGACCCATGCAGACCGCCTCATCCCTTGCTGTGTGTCTCATTATTGGCCATCAAATGTTATCCATAGTCTAACTAGCTAACAGGGTCAGAGTGCTGTTTTCGCCATCTCTGTTTGCTATTAGCACAATAGAGAACCAGAATTCTAGAAGAATCAGGAAATAATCTTAGAATGAATGCAGACAACTGAAAGTGCCTGCAGTAAGGTAAGCAGACCATAAAGGTGAAATCAAAGGACGGTGATGAAGTGGAGCAAACCTTTTCAAGAAATTTCCCCATTTTTATTTGGGCAGAGAGACTTCCATCTGAGTCTGAAGATCAAAGGTGTCAGTTGATGACTACCTGGAGAAACGCTTTACTGCATATTCATTTCCATATTTTTCATGTGCTAAAGCAGCCCTGTTACCTTGGTGACAACATAGACCATGGACAGGCTGTAAAAGAAGATCAGTAAGTATCTGTCTGGTGGGCAGGTAAAATGTCAGCGACACCTAAAACGTGTGTGGAAAATGTTAACTGGCAGACTGTGCAGAACTATAGGGGGACCCAAATTCATAAGCAATCCCTAGGGGTTAGTGCTACACAATGTATGCCACTTGCTAAATGACGGTTTCCCTAACTGTTATCAGCAACATAAAGGAAGGGTGGAGATAGTGGTGACATCATAACCCGAATTTGGCCATGGTCCATATTTGGTCAATGTTATTGACCCCATTTCACCATGTGATGATAGGTAATGATGTCACCCCTTAGCCCTGCCCCTTTGCTTACTAGGCTCCGGACTCCCAGCCATGTAAATGAGTAAGCCAGGTGACATCAATACATAAAACACAACACGCCTGTGCAAGAGTGTGGTGGTCAAATGCCAGTATTTGTTGCATATCCAATTCACAAGTGGAGATACATATATAGTGGAACAGAAGTTGATCAGTAAATCAACTTCTGACCAACTTCAGTGGCCACACATAGATTGAATTCAGCCAGTCCCTGCTAAGCTGGATGCATTTTGATCCATCTGTGGCCACCTTTACCTTCTTCCACAACTCACTATTGATGTGGCAGACCATCTTTAAAAGTGATTGGCCAATAGAAAAGTGCAGAAAGGGTAGAGTTAGACACAGATGGTTTTCTTTTGCAAATTAGAGTTCCCCCAATTTACAGGGCTCCCAAGGAGGCACTAATACACAATAGGAGTGATGTTTATTTTTTACAGGATTGGCAGCTTTGACTTCTTACCTCCACCGTGCCTTCGCTCTATCATTCTGAGCAAAAAAGAATGCCAGAAACTGTAATGCTGCATGGAGTGATCCAGTGTGGTACTGGTTACCAGGAAAGTACAGGAAGCTTCCATTCCAGTAATCCTATCTTACCTTTCTTTGCATTTGTTTCTGGTCCTTTTTAGGGGGATAGCAAAAATGATACCTGGATTTTTACCCTCGCTCTCCTGCTAAGCAGTGCCATGGTGTATAACAGCAAAGGAACCATCGACCAGGATGCCCTAGATAAATTAAAGTATCCTTTTTCATTCTAGGGTCTTGGTGATTTCATGTATTTATGTTCTAACAGGCTGCTTGTAGATCTTAGAACAAATTAGAGGGAAAGGACAGAAAAATGGATAAAAAAAAATGTTGTATCTCTTTTTTTACTTTCAACATATTGTAAACAGCTCCTCTGTACATGGAAAATGATGAATTAAAGAAGAACTACCTTTTTTTTTTTCATTTAAAAAGAGTATGAAGAGTAAGGGAAGTTTTAACCTCTCTCATTTTTTTGTGCCATCTGTGCCCAATGGGGAGATTTCCTTTCACTCCCTGCCCCATAGCCACAAAGGAAGTGAATTCCCATAAATGGAATCCATTGGAGCCCCCCCCCCCCCCCCAGGTCACCAGAATTAGTGTCACCATTACTTTGCTAGGGACAACTCAAAATGTGGGATTTTCTTTCACTCTTGGTAAAAACAGAAATAGTAGAGAGGGAATCACAGGCAGCCATAAAAACCTTACAAGGGTCCTAGTCTTGCTCCACTTTGTCCAAAACTAAAATAAATGTTTGCCTTTAGTTATACTTCAACTGCCTACATTTTGACCAATTATTATTCTAAATGTCCCTCCATGAAAAAAAGTATTTTTTTTGTATTCCCCTAATAATGTAAGAAGACAAAAGGAAGGGTCTCTTTGTCTCTTTACATGGTTACCAGCAGGAGTTAGGCCAGCCATAGACGGAGCAAATTTTTTTGGTTCGCTTGATTCCCCCATCCACACAGTCAGTGTTAACAGGGGAATCCCTCCTGCCAAGACAGTGTTATTTCTAGCAGCTACAGTGGGGATCGAAAGTTTGGGCACCCCAGCTGAAAAATTTGTATTAATGTGCATAAAGAAGCCAAGGAAAGATGGAAAAATCTCCAAAAGGCATCAAATTACAGATTAGACATTCTTATAATATGTCAACAAAAGTTAGATTTTATTTCCATCATTTACACTTTCAAAATAACAGAAAACAAAAAAATGGCGTCTACAAAAGTTTGGGCACCCTGCAGAATTTATAGCATGCACTGCCCCCTTTGCCAAGCTGAGACCTGCCAGTGTCATGGATTGTTCTCAATCATCGTCTGGGCAGACCAGGTGATGTCAATCTCAAAGGTTTTAAATGCCCAGACTCATCTGACCTTGCCCCAACAATCAGCACCATGGGTTCTTCTAAGCAGTTGTCTAGAAAACTGAAACTGAAAATAGTTGACGCTCACAAAGCTGGAGAAGGCTATAAGAAGATAGCAAAGCGTTTTCAGATGTCAATATCCTCTGTTCGGAATGCAATTAAGAAATGGCAGTCATCAGGAACAGTGGAAGTTAAAGCAAGATCTGGAAGACCAAGAAAAATATCAGACAGAACAGCTCGCAGGATTGTGAGAAAAACAATTCAAAACCCACGTTTGACTGCACGATCCCTCCAGAAAGATCTGGCAGACACTGGAGTTGTGGTACACTATTCCACTATAAAGAGATACTTGTACAAATATGGTCTTCATGGAAGAGTCATCAGAAGAAAACCTCTTCTACGTCCTCACCACAAAAATCATTGTTTGAACTTTGCAAATGAACATATAGACAAGCCTGATGCATTTTGGAAACAAGTTCTGTGGACGATGAGGTTAAAATTAAACTTTTTGGCAGGAATGAGCAAAGGTACGTTTGGAGAAGAAGGGGCACAGAATTTAATGAACAGAACCTCTGTCCAACTGTTAAGCATGGGGTTGGATCAATCATTCTTTGGGGTTGTGTTGCAGCCAGTGGCACAGGGAACATCTCACGAGTAGAAGGAAAAATGGATTCAATAAAATTTCAGCAAATTTTGGATGGTAACTTGATGCCATCTGTGAAAAAGCTGAAGTTAAAGAGAGGATGGCTTCTACAAATGGATAATGACCCTAAACGCACCTCGAAATCCACGGGGGATTACATCAAGAGGCGTAAACTGAAGGTTTTGCCATGGCCTTCACAATCTCCTGACCTCAACATCATTGAAAATCTATGGATAGACCTTAAAAGAGCCGTGCGTGACAGACAGCCCAGAAATCTCAAAGAACTGGAAGACTTTTGTAAGGAAGAATGGGCAAAGATACCTCAAACAAGAATTGAAAGACTCTTGGCTGGCTACAAAAAGCGTTTACAAGCTGTGATACTTGCCAAAGGGGACAGTACAAGATATTAACTCTGCAGGGGGCCCAAACTTTTGCAGACGCCATTTGTTTGTTTTCTGTTATTTTGAAAGTGTAAATGATGGAAATAAAATCTAACTTTTGTTGACATATTATAAGAATGTCTAATCTGTAATTTGATGCCTTTTGGAGATTTTTCCATCTTTCCTTGGCTTCTTTATGCACATTAATACAAATTTTTAGCTGGGGTGCCCAAACTTTCGATCCCCACTGTATATCAGCCACTTGCAATAATTGCATATAAAATCCGGCAGGCTGGTTGTGCCCAAGTTGAACGATCGATTAGATTGGGTAGATTCAGCCTACCCATGCACAGTTAGAATTTTGGTCAGTTCAAACCATCTATGGCTGGCTTTATCCTGGACCCTGCCTCTAAAGAGGGACTGCAGAAGCCTTCATTGTATTTGGCCCCATCCATTCCTATTGCTTCATGGACTTCCTATGCATTTTTTTATAGACTCAATATATTTCTACTAGACTTTTTGGCACTGTTATTTTTGCACTCTTTGGTGCTTTTGTATTTTTTAGATCTCCTTAACCTTTGATAGATTTGTAGGGGAACTCTCCGAGATGATAAAGGTGAAATCAAAGGACAATGATGACGAGGAGCAGATCTTTTCAAGACATTTCCCCATTTTTATTTGGGCAGTGAGAGACTTCCATCTGAGTCTGGAGATCGAAGGGGGACAGGTGTCAGCAGACGGCTACCTGGAGAACGCTTTAAAGCTTAAATTGCGTATGCATTCCATATATTTCATGTGCTAAAGCAGCCCTGTTACCTTGGTGACAACATAGACCATGGACAGGCTGTAAAAGAAGATCAGGAAGTATCTGTCTGGTGGGCAGGTAAAATGTCAGTGACATCTAAAACCCTTTAAGAAACAGAAAATTTGACTCACTACTACTTAGTAGAAAGTATTGATCCTACAGCCTGCCCTTCAAATATTTTTTTTCACCAAGGTAAGAGGGCCGCTTTCAAATATTTATACAAATTGCATTACTGAAGTTGTGGCTGAAATTTCTTGTTGAGGTATTCAGGCCCTGAAACGCTTACACAGTACGCATATTGTTATCCAAATGTTACAATGAAGTTTTGGTTGGGCTCAGCCAAACTAAAGCTGAATTCCACTTAAAGCTTTTTTGCATGGTTACATTTGCTCAGCTTGGACCAATGCAAGTATGTATGTGCCATACCTGTGGGATCCCTGTAGAAGCTGGAAATCACTGTAGTAGACACCACTACTACACCGCTACTATATCACTTCTATGGTGATCTCCACTAGCTTCCAGATATCATGCCGAGCGACTGCCCTGTTGCATTGTTAATACAAGGATTCAGTCACTGGGCACGGATGCCGTTCAGCGTACATATATTTATATTTACTCCATGAATATAATGCATTCTCTGATTGGACGAGGTGGAGATCATGATGTCACCACCCGTCTCCCTGCCTCATCCAATCAGAGAATGCTTTGCACCCATTGAGAAAAAATGTGAAGTGCTGATTAAATGGCACCTGTGCCACGTGAGTGGCCTCAGCTTCCATGGAGATACATTGGGACCAAGCTGGATCGATGTAACTATGCAAAAATAGCCATACCTGAACGTCAGCTAACCCCTCGCACTCCAGAAGATTCCCCCTCCCCCCCTTCCTGACCAGGCCATTTTTTGCATTGTGACGCTGCGTTACTTTAACTGACAATTGCGCATCATGAAACACTGTACCCAAATGAAATGTACGTCCCTTTTTTTTGCAGTATTAAAAAAAGACCGTCAATTTTGAGAAACAGAAAATATTTTTCACATTTTGCTATTAATCATAATCAGTCAAAAAATTAAAAAAATAGAATTTCGTCATAAATTTAGGCCAAAATGTATTCTGCTCCATGTTTTTGCTAAAAAAAATCCCAATACGTGTAAATTAATTGGTTTACTTGAAAGATATAGCATTTACAAATGGCGGTATATATGCTGGGAATTTTCTTTTTTATTTATACTAGTAATGGTGGTGATTAGCGACTATAGTGGGACTGCGTGACTGTGGCAGCCATTCTGACACTGGGGGGGAACTGGAGTGGTGTCACTGATATCCCCAGTGACACCAATACAGTGATCAGTACTAAAGTACTGACACTGTACTAATGGCACTGGGCAGGAAGGGGTTAACATGAGGGGCGATCAAAGGGTTAACTGTGTGCAGTTTTACTAAGTGTGCTGTGTTAGTGCTTCACTGCAAGCACACTGCTTTGTATGGCTCTGCTATGCACAGCCTTGCCAAGAAGTCTCCAGGAGCTCACAGAGAGGAGAACTGTTTTGTTTACAAACAGTTCTCCCCCCATTGGAGATGCTCGGCAATCACCGGACACTGGTGACTAATCCCCAACCGGGACCCGGTGATTGACAGCTAAGGCGGTGAATGGTGGCAGAATGCAAACCTACCTGGAAATGCAAAATCATGTGATTTTGCGCACCGCTACTGTCCTGTAGCAATATTTCTTTTCTGCTATAGGACGGTGGTAAAGAGGTTAAACAATCTGCACAAATAAAGGAAAAAGACTCAAGTGGGTTATTTACTAAAATCTGGTGCAGCTGTGCACAGAAACCAATCAGCTTCCAGGTTTGTTTGTCAAAGCTTAAAGTGGTTGTAACACCTCAAGTTTTTTACCTTCATCCATTCTGAGTGGCACTGATTGGCAGCACTAATAGGTGGCACTGACTGGCATTTATAGTTGGCACTGAAAGGCAGCTCAGATGGGCACTGATATGTGGCATTGATGTACACTGGTAGGCACTGATATGTGGCATTGATGTACACTGGTAGGCACTGATATGTGGCATTGGTGTGGCATTGATGGGCACTGACAGCTGGCACTGATGGGGCTACACTGATGATCAGTGTACATGTCCCCTCTAAAGAATGCCAATTACCGGCTCTCCTCTGCTCCCGGAGCTGTCTGTGTGAGGAGAAGACTCCTGGTAATCAGCATTTCCCTATTTACATGCGATCAGCTGTGACTGGACACAGCTGATCACATGACAGAGCTGACATCATCGGCTCTTTCCACTGATCGGCGATCTGCTGTGTTCCAGGGAGACAGCGCACCATCGATCACTGCGCCGCGCGCCCCCGGGGGTGTCGTATGATGTCCTACCAGAAGAGAACTGCAGCCCTCCCGTCATTCCCTTATATGGTGGGTGGGAGGCGGTTAATCAAAATAAAGTTAGAAGCTGATTGGTTATCATGCACAGCTGACCAGATTTTGCACGCTCCAGTTTTAGTAAATCAACCCCAATGTGTTCTCTGCAGCGGCTGGAGACCACAGAATATAAAATTGATAGGTTGATTTAAAAATGCTGACAAGCCTTTGATCTACTGTACATAAAAGCAACAGAACAGAATACATTGTTCTAATATTGTTACCGTGTGCTTAGAATTAAAGCCCATAGCTGTTATTTGCAGTGTTCTTTATACACAAATTAGGATACAGATGGATAAAGATGATTACAGCAACAGATAAGGTGTGGAAGGGTAAACCAGAGCATACAAGGCATGCCCAAGTTCTATGGATTAGGCTTTTGTAGGGTGTACCTTGTAGCCCAGGGCTTGCCAACCCCAACACACCTGCCTCCTCCACTGACAGGCCAAGAGATTGAAAAAAACAGCATGCACGGCCCTTCAAAAATTGGAAAGGCGGCAAACCTTTGGTGGTGGTGGTGGGGGGGGGGGGCGGCAGGAAAGGACAATGTCAGCAGATGTCAACAGTTAACTGTCAATCAACTAACACCTAAACAGCTCTCTTTCATTTCTTAATCCATGTCCACAGCTGAAAAGTCACCGAAGAATATGACATATAATAGTACGAGAATTTGTCTCCAAATGTATTTTGGAAACCGGAAGTGCTTCGTGTTTGATTTCCCCACCACCAATAAAGATTTTCTTCAGAGACTGGAGGAAGTCCCAGACAGTGACCTCAACAGAAACTTTGTGGATCAGTGCGTGGAATTCTGTGATTACATCTGGAACAAGGCCGATACAAAGAGAGTGAATGAGACAGTCATGGTGACCGGACACAGTGAGTTCATCCAATGTCTCTTCCTAAACCATTGAACATAAAGGGGTAGAAGGCTAAAATCACTTACATCAGTCTTTGCACCAGAGAAGCTTACACTCTAATGCCCCCCCCAGTCAATCACGATTATTATTTACATTGTTTTCATACTTTTTTTTTTATAGCTCTGACATATAGCACAGCGCTGTATAGAGAACACTGAGCCAGTCACATTAATATCTGTACTAGAGGAGCTTACACTCTAATGTCCCCTCCCCCACAGTCACATCGGACTCTGTACCAGAGGAGCTTACACTCTAATGTCCCCTCCCCCACAGTCACATCAGTCTCTGTACCAGAGGAGCTTACACTCTAATGCCCCCTCCCCCACAGTCACATCAGTCTCTGTACCAGGGGAGCTTACACTCTAATGCCCCCTCCCCCACAGTCACACACTGTTATTATTATACATTTTGTGGGGTTAGCTCAGGTGGGGGGATCACCTTCCCTGGGAAAAAGGTAGACCACACAGCAGGCTCTCTTCAAAATCTGACTGGTTGTCAGTTTTATTCACAGGTTTGCAAATATATCAAAACGAACAGAACAGAAAATAAACCCTTGCCATCCAGGCACTAACTAAACATAGAACGTTTCCTCTCTCACAGGTGAAGGGCTTCTCCTTGTCACCCAAAAATAAACCAATACGCAAACCTTTTCTTGTTGGTATACCGCACACAGCTCACTCAGGAATGGCTCTCTTAGTCTCTGTACCAGAGGAGCTTACACTCTAATGTCCCCTCCCCCACAGTCACATCAGTCTCTGTACCAGAGGAGCTTACACTCTAATGTCCCCTCCCCCACAGTCACATCAGTCTCTGTACCACAGGAGCTTACACTCTAATGTCCCCTCCCCCACAGTCACATCAGTCTCTGTACCAGAGGAGCTTATACTCTAATGTCCCCTCCCCCACAGTCACATCAGTCTCTGTACCAGAGGAGCTTACACTCTAATGTCCCCTCCCCCACAGTCACATCAGTCTCTGTACCAGAGGAGCTTACACTCTAATGTCCCCTCCCCCACAGTCACATCAGTCTTTGTACCAGAGGAGCTTACACTCTAATGTCCCCTCCCCCACAGTCACACACTATTATTATTATACATTTATATATGACATATACCGCTGACAAACTGTAAACTCTGCAAGTGAACAGAGGTCTTGGTGTTAATAAAACATTTCAGACAACTATTTTTAACCAGGTAAATAATTTTTATTAGAGATTGTCTAAAAATATGACAAGATTATCCTAGCTCTGCAGAATATGCTGATCCTTCTCCACTCAACAGGAAACAAACATTCAGTCATCCTATTGCAAGTGTGATCCCCGGTATACTATAGAAATGATGTCACACCTTGGTCTGCTTTAACCACTTAAAGGTCATCCCAACATTACATATCCATGGTATTTCTTGTTATTTCAATCAGTTTAGCTGAGTTATAAGGAATTTAGCAAACATAACATTTGGATTAAAAAAAGGTCATCCATTTGTCTCCTCATCTCAGGGTTGGGTGAGCTGGCTAAATTTTACACTGAAGCTGTAAGCTCCTCTAAGTTTGCCTGCATGGAGGACGCCATGGTTTCTCTGGCTGAGAAGGAGAACAAAGCGGCTGCCAAGGAAGCGACACGGCACTATGAGGACAAGATGAAGAAAGTTGGGTTGCCCACAGAAACTCTTGATGACTTCATGACTCTGAGCAGTCAGTATGAGGACGAAGCTCGGAAAACATTCCTGAAGAAGTCCTTCAATGACAAAGATCAGCAGTTTCTTGAGGAATTTATGGTGAGATTTTTTTGTATTGGGTATAAAAAATAACGCTCTACCTCCAACAGTCACAATTTTGGATAAATATGCTGGGACATTTCCAGTACTTCTAGCTTTTTTTCTTGGGTTGAGACTATAGCTGTAATGTTTAGTCAACCAATTAGTTCATATAACCATTATAAATTGCTACGGTGATCGCACAAGGGAAAACAACTTACAGAATGTCAGGACTCAAAACCAATAGCCTTTTGGCTGCAAGAGCCATTTTAAATTTTTTTGCACACAAAAAAAATCAACGTAGGCTGAAGATTTGTTTAACCTCCTTATCGGTATTCCCGAGTGTAGCTCGGGGTAAAATTTCTATACCAAGAGCGGTAACCCCGAGCTACACTCGGGCTTACCATGCGGCGCTGCTCTGGGCGCTCCTGCCCTTGTCCTTCGCTCCCGCGATGTGTCCCCTGCAGCGTCCCCGGCCATCTCCTCCGGCCGATGCCGGCATCCGGCTTCTGTGTTCTGGTCCCTGTGACGTCGGGATGTACGGGCACCGGAACCGGCGGGAAATTTTAAATTTTTAAAAAATGTCATTTTTGCTGTCATTGCTGTTTCAATGCATTTCACATATATTTTGTCCCTACTGCTTTGTCCGGTGCCCTGCCTGCATTATGAATGTTCTTTCTGCCTGGAAACTTAGAAAAGTCCATGGCGTCCAAAAAGCGTCCCTTTATGTCAAAAGCGGTTTTAGAACAGCTAGAGAACAGCGATAGTAAATCAGAACCACTTGCAGAATTGAGTGATAATGATTTGTGGGGGAAATTCGTCATCAGACACTGAAAACGATTTTGCGACTTTGCTCAGCGATGTGCGAATTTGCCTCTGTATTTCAAATTTCAGTGTTTTTGGTTTGATTATATTATTGAATTAAATTTATTATTATTATATTATTATATTATTATTTTTATGATCATTTATTAAATTATAATTTATGATTTCGTGTTTCAAATTTTATCATATCGGGATGTTTACTAGACTCTTGTTCAGACAGATTTCAGTGAGTTATTCCTAAAATAACTACATATTTCCATGCAAACAAATGGTACCGCTTTCAGCACAAAAAATCGGAAAGAATCAGACCGCCAAGGAGGTTAACTCCAAAATCACAAAATATTTTATGAAAGCAAAGACTCTGGAGAATATAATAGTGGTAGTTATTTATTTTATTTCACATGATATTAGTGTAGCGGTTTATCAAGTGCAACATTTCCGTAAAAATAGAGATAATTTTAGGGCACACAAATGCAAAGAATTACAAATTTTTTTCCATAAAATATTAAAGATAAGGTTGTGCCAAATAAATAGATGCCAAACGTATCAGGCCTGCAAACTTTGGTACCCTACATTTTCCATAGGTGACACTTTAAAAGCCCCCACAGATCAGCAGGTTAGAGTAAACCGTGAATAATGGGCTTAGAATTATTGTTCCCACTCTGATGTGCGCTGAGATATGTGGTGCACCCAATGCATGTGTTTTGCATGCTTTTGTATGCGTGCTCATATGGGGATGAGGGCTACAACGTTTTTCGGAAGGAGTTTAAGTGCTTGGGTGTAATTGTATTTTTTTTTTTTTCTCTTTTTTTTTAAACTAAACTTTGTTGCCTTCTGCAAGATGAATGGAACATTCCATATAATTTAGTCCTAAGAGAAAACATCCTTAAAGCGGAGTTCCACTCACAGTGTCAAAGAATAAAAGTCAGCAGCTGCAAAAACTGTAGCTGTGGTGTGTCCCCCGCAGCCTGTTTCACCGGCCGTCCTGTATTCCAGGAGGCCAGCATCTACAGTGTGGGCGCTCGGCTGTGACAGCTTGCGACTTCTCAGCCGGGTACCCACTGCACATGCGCGAGTATCGCTGCACTTCATGAATGGCCCCGTAGTCTTCTGGGACCTGTCACGTGTCCCAAAAGGCTACAGGGGAGGGAGGACACCTTCCGCTTCCGATCGCTTAGGTGATTGGACCGGAAGTGGGAGCGGGTACCTGTCAAATTCAGGTACCCACTCCCCCCTGCCCCCCAAAGGTACTAATCCTTAATGGGAAGCAATCCTTAAAGCAGAACTTCCCCTTTTGGGTGGAGCTCCACTTTAAGAACATTCACCCTCAAGAGTTGAAGAACATTTGACCAATAGAGTAAATATCCTAATACTACAAGCTTAAAACAATAACCAGTAGAGTAAATAATATAAGGGGGACCTCTGCACTGTACACCAGGGGTCTCCAAACTTTCTAAACAAGGGCTGGTTTCCTGTCCTTCAGACTTTAGGAGGGAAGGAGTGGCAAGTGTGAGTAGAAAATGTCCCAGCGTTAGTAGGAGTTAAACAAATTACATAGTGCTTGTAGTCAGTAGATGGAGAAATAGTGTCCGGTCATTGGTATTAGTTGGGGGAATAGTGCCCCATCATTGGTGTCAGAGGGAGAATAGTGCCCCATCATTGGTATCAGTGGGAAGAATAGTGCCCCATCATTGGTATCAGTGGGAGGAATAGTGCCCCATCATTGGTATCAGTGGGAGGAATAGTGCCCCATCATTGGTATCAGTGGGAGGAATAGTGTCCCATCATTGGTGTCAGTGGGAGGAATAGCGCCCTATCGTTGGTGACAGTGAGAGGAATAGTGCCCCATCATTGGTGTCAGTGGGAGGAATAGCGCCCCATCATTGGTGTCAGGGGGAGGAATAGTGCCCCATCATTGGTGTCAGGGGGAGGAATAGTGCTTCATCATTGGTGCCAGTGGGAGGAATAGTGCCCCATCACCGGTATCAGTGGGATGAAGAGTACCCCATCACTGGTATCAGAGGAAGGAATCATGCCCCATCATTGGTATTAGTTGGAGGAATAGTGCCCCATCACTGGTATCAGAGGAAGGACTCGTGCCCCATCATTGGTATTAGTTGGAGGAATAGTGCTCCATTATTGATGTCAGTGGAAGGAAAATGCCCCATAGTTGGTGCCAGTGAAAGAAATGGTGCCTCCTTGTTGGTATCAGTGGGAGGAATAGTACCCCAAGGGCCAGATAGAGACAAGCAAAGGGCTGCATTTGGCCCATGGGCCGCAGTTTGGAGACCACTGGTGTAAACTTGTAAAAAATGGCAGATATTCATCCTGTGAAGCTGCATGTACATTCATTTTGTGCAAATGGGGGCAAAAATGAATGTTATTATGATATTTTTTTCTCCAGTTTTCCAGTCTGACCTTGACTGGGCAAGCAACTAAATTAGCCTTTTTGTTTTTATGTAAAGTCTGACTTGTGATATACTATTTTCATCAGATAGACAATGGAGGGCAGGTAAGATATTTGATTTATTCATTTAGTCAGCCTTTAAAATGTATATCCAGGGGGCGCATGCGCGGCCAGCACTGAAGGTGGACGGGGAATAGAACCGCGCCGTCCACCCGCCAGCCTAAACGCGGCTCAACCGGCCCTGGGTACCTGTAAGTGCGAGGCACCGATACACATAAGGTGCCCGCACATCCGATACGATGCCACGGAGGAAAAAACCCCTGGATCAGCCAGGGAAACTGACTCAGTTCTTCCCGGCCGTCGGGCCGGGAATCCAAGATGGCGCCCGCGGCTGCAGACAGGGAGACAACAGCAGCACTCAGCAGGAGGACTACAGGGCTCAGCACCCGGATCCCAGGCTGCAACAATCACTATACCCAGGGGACCCTGGTGAGTTGTCTCCCCCACTGTCCCCTACACTACGCAGCCCTGCTAAATCCAGGCCACGGCTAGATCAGGACACTAGCACATTTCCACAGGCCTCCATTTCTCCATTACATCCACCCCAAGCTGCTATGCCTGACTTAGAAGCATTCCCGGTGTCAGACATACCACTGACAGAAATATGCATGAAGAATATGCTTACGTCATTGCTCCAATCTTTACATAACGATATCTTTACGCCACTTAACCAACTATCAACTTTAGTACAACAGCAAGAACATAGAATTAGCCACATTGAAAATGCCATGGGAGACATAACAACGGCGCACAATAACCTAATTGATGCGCACACAGAACATTCGGCTGATATTGAGCAAATCAATCAAAAACTAGCTGATCTGGAAGACAGATCACGTCGCAACAACATCAAACTCAGAGGCATTCCCGAATCTGTCACCAACGCTGACTTAATACCATACATACAGCAGTATGTCAAAATACTCCTCCCTACTATCTCTGACTTGGAGCTCGCAATTGACCGGGCACATCGCTTACCTAAGCCCACTTTTTTGCCGGCATCCATTCCGAGAGACGTATTGGCACGCATTCATTTTTTCCACGTGAAAGATAAAATTATGTCGGCGGCTCGAAACCCACCGCCGCTCCCACCATTATACACGAATATCCGATTATATGCTGATTTGTCCAAAACTACCCTCCTTAACAGAAAACAAATGATATCTATCACCAAGGCCCTCAGAAACCATGGCATAGCGTATCAATGGGGGTTCCCCACCAAACTATTGGTGCGTCATCAAAGTAAAATTTTTACTATCAAAACTTTGGAGATGGGCCTGGATCTACTGAAAACTTGGAATATACTCCCTGCTGATCCGCAAGAACCCACATATAGCTCTATGGAGGCAACTTGATCTTCACAAGAAATACTTTTCCTCCTTTCTTTATATATCTTCATACTTCTACCCAGGAGCAATTTTCAATCAGATTGTCTGGCGTTTGGCCTTCATTTGGTTCAATTTGTTTAAGATGGTTGTAATTGGCTCGACCCCCGTCTGGCGGTCAAGCCCACCTGCATCCCCCAGTTTTGAGGTAGCAAGGTTGGCTACTCGGGACATTTGCATTTTTCGCAAATCCTTTTTTATTGTTATTCTTCCTATCCTTACCCCTTCCCTGCCATGGCACCTTTGGATACTCACACAACGCCCATATATCACCTATTTCGGCACATCTTGGAATACTCCCCTCAACACTCTGATTGAGTCACGATTATATCACCTCCTCCTACCTGCTTGTCTCCTAGCTAGACGCGGGATCATCT